CGCACTGGGTCTCCCGCCACCTGCACCCAGCCCTGGGCAGGCCTCTCGGAGTCCTGGGCAAGCCCTGCTCTGCCTGACACGGGCCTCGCACATGCCATGTCCTCATCCTTCCTGGTCACCACCTCGCACCCTGTGAGGATAACAGCTGCAGTCAGTAGTTGCTAACACTTCTTTAGCACAAGTACCGTGTTGAGTGAGGACTTAACATAAATGATCGCACTTAATCCCGACCGTTGTATCCTGTTTTAGAGGTAAAAACACTTGGGGTTCCTAAAGCAGTGCCCACAGCTAGGAAGACACAGCCAGAATTCAAACCCAGGTTCTGAATCTGCCTCTGTTCCCATTCTGCTCTCCTGCCCCCCTGAGGGTGAATCAGAAGGGGAGGCCGTAATAGGTCAAGGGTGAGATGAGGGAGGAGAGCGTGTGGACTAGGAAGGTAGGAGGGGTGGGACTCAGCTACTGATTAGACGTGGAGAAGGAGCGAAGGATGCCTGGCCCTGCCAGTGTGGACAGGGCTGGTTGGATGAGCACAAGGAAGCAGGTGAGGAGTGGAGGGAGGGAGTGGGTGAAGCAACTTCGGGAGTTCTGGGAGGCGCAGGACTCGGGAGGCAGGCCCGATGCGGAGCTGGGGGTTCCTGGCATATAGGCAGTGACTGGACATGGGGTGGCGGAAGCCGGAGACAGTGAGCAGCGGGTGCTCAGGCACCAGCACAGCAGCCTGAGGAAGAGAGTGGTCGGAGGGGGGGAGTCGGACCGCGGACCTTGCTCGGTGACTTCGTTTGCTAACCCTGCTGTTGTCCCTCCTCCAGAGACCATAGGAGACGTCACGTTTGAGGCGGGAGTCAGCTACATCGGCACACCCCGGACCCCCTTTCCCGTCAGAGGCAAGTGCCCCTCCTCTCTGATGCCTTAGCCACCTGCAGTCCTGGGGAGTCTAACTGTTTGTGTCTGACTCCCTTTCAGAGAAAATTGAGGCCCAGAATCCAGGAAACACTTTGTGTTTATCATCGCCTGATAAGCCGTAAGTTGAGCACGAGTCCCTTTTATAGTCGTTTTGTCAGTTTTTTCTCTTAGTTCCAGACTGAGTGTATCTTTTCCTCCTTAGGCCTCCGGCGCCTGCACAGTGGAATGTGAAGTCTCCAGCGAGAAATAAAGACAACCCAGTCCCCAGCAAGAGGTCCCTCCGGAAGACGCCCCTGACAGCAGCCAACTAGAACAGTGCACGCAGGGCACGCGGGCAGTGGGGCTGGGAAGGCGTCATTTCCGCACGGGGACAGGCACCCCCCGTGTCACCTCCCGGAGCCCCGGGGGCACTTTGTTATGTGCCCCAGCACTTGTGCCGTGACTCCAGCTGGTTCAGTTGCTCCAGGAGTATGTGGCAAAAGTTGTAAAATAATAGAGAAATGCTTAGCTGTGTAACGTTTTATCTTTACTCCATGTGGAAGTATCAAGTCCGTTCTGGTGGTCCCTAAGGAACACAACGTGACACGCTGGCTTTCTCGTGTACAGATCCAACCTGTTAGCTGATAAGAATCCTCTAGAGTGAATGGTTCCCTGTGTGTATGACAAGATTTTGATTGTAATATTTTTCTATTCTTATTTATGAACTGCACATTTTTAAAAGTGTACAGCTTTCTAAAACAATAATAAAGCATAAATATAGCCTTATAGTTTCTACTGCAATAGAATTTTTTTATTCTTACAACAGGGCTTTTATTGGTAGTCATTTCGATTTACATAAAAACTTGAGAATTTTAAAAATCTTTCAAGTTAAAATAATGACGTTTGTCCTTAAATTTCAGTGCCTATGTCCCCAGACAGACGCTGCTGCCTCCTAACAACAGGTGTCCCTGTACGTGTATGGACCTAGTCCTGCTGGTGAGAGCCTGCTGCAGCCCCTCCCCCAGCGGCACCGACACGGAGCTGCGCTGACCGTCTGCTCCTGTGAGGTGCCTCAGTCTCTTCTGTCGGCCCCACCAGGTAGCCTTGCAACATGCACGTGTGTTTTCACCAGGAATGACCAGAAACCCCGCTGCTCACTTTTTATTCCCAGACTACAGATGCAGAGCACAGGGGCACTGTGGCAGTGTTAACACATTGTGGACGGGTCATGAGAATTCTCATGTTTTCTGTTCTAAGGCTACAGATGCAGAGCACAGGGGCACTGTGGCAGTGTTAACACATTGTGGACGGGTCATGAGAATTCTCATGTTTTCTGTTCTAAGGCTTGTGGCCAATCACGAGAATTCTTTAAAAAGATATTAGCTTGTAAGAACATATAGTAAGTAACTTCAAAATGCAATGGGCATTTAATTTTAAAGCATGCCTTTAACATTTACGTAAAACGTTTTTTGTACCCGTTCAATAGAAACTTATCTGGCCACCGAGTAAAGCTAGCAATAAAACTCCTGGTCCGCAATGTGTTAATATCAACACGGCAGCTGGATTTGAGGGTAGAACATCCCTGTGACCTGCCCACAGCTCTCGCGTGTGTGACCTGTGACACATGGAGTCACAGAGCTGCTCCTGAGTGAGCCGCTCCTGACAATCCATGGACATGTGGTGGCGGTCTGAGTGCTCACCTGGAAATGCTAGGAAGAAGGGCAACCCCGACATGAGAGGAAATAAGAAAGAAATAACGAGGCAAGGTTGATTTTTGTAAAGCTTTTATAAATGAGGTTGAACACATACCGATTTAGGGGGTGTTAGTACAAGTCTGCATACCTACGTACAGCCACGCCAAAGGCCACGGCAGCGGACAGGCCTCGTGCCTTTAGTCACATTCACATTTGGAAAACATGAGTGTTCCTTATCTATCTACATTTTCAGTCACAGGCAACTACTTCCCAGACTCCACGCTTCACTTCTCTCTCCTGTCAGACCCAGTTCACATGGCCCCAGCGTAGGTTTTAGGCATAAGAGAGGCAATAAGGCTGTCTTATCACTGTGACAACCAAGATCAAGGCCAGAGTATTGATCCCCAAGAATTAGAGAAAGGGGGCGCTATCCCTTCCTACCAAGAAGAGGTGAAGGTGAAGGGTTAGTCCTCATCCTACGCATTCAATACAAACGCAGGAGAGAGATACCAGTAAGCAGGTATGGAGAGCTGCCGTCTGCTCCTGCCAACTCCCCCATGCAAAGTATTTCACATAAAAAGTCACACAGTCTCCAATTAAAAACCCTCCGAGTATAAAAAGTTAAGACAAGTGAAGTTTAATCCCAAGATGACTGTGGCTACATGAAAACTACCCTCTAAGCACACCAGGGCCAGGGCTTCCCTCAAACCACTCCGCCAGCTAACAGCACACCCGGCAAGACCTGCTCCTGCAGAAGGCGGGCGTGTTCCTCGCATCCCCATGGCGTGGGCAGGGCCGGGGTGGAGGAAAACTAAGATCAGAACCAGAACTCGGCCTTGGATTCAGGCCGGCACTTGGCTCACCATCAGGCTCTGCCCTGGCTCCACTTCGAGGCGAGCACAGGCCGCGGCGTCGGCACTTTCTTCATGGCAAAGAGGGCAAGTGGAACTCGTCTTTAAAAATGTAGCTGGCAGGCTTGATTCAGAACTGCCTTTGGCCTGCACAGTGTTATGAACCGCACAAATAAGTTAAATACATTGAAAAACAAAAGAGCAGTAGCTTTTTCTTTGTGAGCCATCCACAACCAGAAAGGGCTGTGGCTCAGGAACCCAGCGGTGGGAGGCCGCACGGGGAGGGCCGCCTTCCTGCACGGGCACCTCACCCGTCCTGGGCTGGGCCCAGTGCTGGGCGCATGAACAACAGGCTGGAGCTGGTCGGCACACAGCCAGGCCGGCATCGGCGGTGAAGTGGACGTGCTGGCATCCTCGGGGGTTAGCAGCCCCCACCCACTCGGGGGCATATGACTCAACCCCGGGAGCTGACCCATGTGGTTTGCCCGTGACCGACAGCGTCTGGTGGTCTCTGGCCACAGGTGGTGGTAGGGATCTAAGGGAGAGGCAATTCACGGCTGACCTAAGGGCGCCTGTGTTTCTTTGGAGAGAGGACAACTTTGTTGTTACTCAACTGGAATTTTAAAGATTCCCTAAGCAACGTGGTCTGACGTGTCGGTGGCAGAAGTTCTCGAAAACGCTAAAGCACTTGTGGAAGGAATGGCCCAGTGAGCCCCGTGCGGACGCCGTCGTTAGGATGCTCTTACTGTTGGCATTTTCCATTCAACACGAGTAGCTTGGAACTCCTGCAAGCCGAACTTTTTCTTTAAAAAAATAGGTTATTCAACATTGTATGACAACATATTTACAGTTTAAATAGAAGTTTTCTTTTCAATAACCAAAATACATGTTTAGCAAAAATTTAGAATGTAAAATTCTAGAAAACAAACACCCCTAGAAAAGCAGGACGTTTTAGTACCATGTCACACTTGGGCTGAGCGGGAGGTTTCCATAGAGACCCTCCGGCGACGAGCAGGGTTCCTGCAGGTAAGGAGCCCTCCCAGCGAGCAGGTCACCTTCCTGATTTTGGTTGTTTTTGTAAGTGCTGATCCAAGAGGATTCCCCAGATGGACAGGACAACACTGAGGCGCCTTTCAGAAAAGCCAGTGCAGACTGTCGGGGCCACTGAGGCGAGGTCACGGCCAAGGAGCCTCATTTCTGGACGCACTGATTCAAACCGCAGCTGCAGGGCATCCTGCTCCCTCGTCCCCCCTCGCAGGGTGCTCCCCCGGCTGACATACAGCAAGTGGCAAATGAACTGGCTTCCCAGGCCCATGGGACCCAGTGGTCTGAGCTGGGAGCCGGCCTCGGTGAGCTCACTCAGTTCTTTTCCGTGTGATGCCTGAGCCCATCTTGAGGAAAATTCTTTTATTCATGCGGCTTGTTAAAAAGTAGGAAAAGAGTAGCGGTCAACTTTGGCCAAAACAAAAAGCTTTGCACGTGTGACTAGCTCTGTCGGGTGCGCTGCCCTCCGGCTGCTCTAGGGAAGTTCCTGGTGGAGGTATTGCGTGTGCTCTCGGCCGCATGTCAGGTTTCAGATCACAAACGACGACTTGTGTCTGAAGTCGCCCTGCAAGGCCAGCACAGGGTTAGAATACGGCCACCCTGTGCCCACCGAGGGGCCCGGGGCAGAGGGAAGGGGAACGTAGTCGTGTCAAAGCACCATGTCCCTGGAGGAGAAACTGGCAGGACGGGTCAGCCTGAGCATCCTAACAGGTAGCGCAAGCGCTCGCAGCTGTAAGGCCGTCAGCGTGCACAGGTGCTGCACAGGCTGAAGAGCCCAGCGTCTGGAATGGAACCTGGGAATCTTTTCTATGGGACCCACTTGGTTTCCAAGGAGGGATGTCCCTTTCCGTGCTGGGGACCCCGCGAGTCCTGGGTTTCCCCAGTGACCGCCCCCTCGCTCCATACCTCCTCATCTGTTCTGATGTAGTTAACGCCGTCGGGCCTCCCCGGACTCTTGAAACTGAAACAGAGGAGGGCAGTTGAGCGACTGCTGGGCATCACGTTAATGCCCGCCTGTATGTTATTCCTTCCACAAGCGCAGGCTCACCTCTCCTCGTCCTGCTTGTGGATGAAGTAGCCGCGTCGGTACGCACAGCAGATGCCCACGGTGATCAGGGCCAGCACAGCCAGGACCACCAGAACGCCTCCGATGATCCCGCCCACGTTCAGGTCATCTGGATGGGAGGGAGGTGGAGGGAGGAGAGGCTCCACACTATCTGGCCTCACCAAGCACCTGACCCGGCAGTGCCTCCTCCCTGTGCCAGACGGGGGAGGACACGCAGACTCTCCTAGCGCACTCAGGCCCGTGCCCGTCCTCACGTGGAAAGGCGCCGAGGCCTCCACGTCCAATGCTGCTGCCCCTGGCCCTGTAGGAAAGGGGCCTGGCGGGTAGAGAAGCCTGAACGCTCCTCTGGCTAAATCCTGAGTTAACCACTGGAGGAGACGGATACACTGTCTACAGAATGAGGAGCCTGGCGTCTTAGGAAGAAAACTCCTCATTCTCGGGGCTCCCTGTGCTGTGGATTATCAGGGGAAGAGAGTTAGTTCCAGGCAGTAAGAAGTCCAGGGGAGAGGATGGCCACTCCCTGCATGCCTGGCCTGGTACCCACAAGCCCCCTTTGCGGAAGCCTGGACCGCCTTTCTCGTTGCTGGACGGTGGGCAGAGTCACGATCCATGGGCGGCCACTGAGGACTTCCCACTGTGTGTGTTTGCACAAAGGAAAGTGTGCAGGGGATGCAGCAACAGAGGGAGTGGAAAATTCTCCTTCCCCCAGGCAGTGGTTCCCAACATGGTGTACTCGTAAAGTCAACTGGAGATTTCGATTTTAAAACCTCAGGTTCCAAGCCCAATCTGGAGGGTCACCGGGTCTGGAGCAAAGCCCTGGATCTCCCTCCTCCCTGAGAGCGGAGCTTCCCAAACCTGACGACGAGGAGAGCCCCCGGAACGCTCTTTCCCAGGGACCCTCCCAACCTCCCGGAGACAGTCGTGTGCGCGGTGGGGCCTGGATTCTGAATGAGAGCCCGTGGTCCCAGATGATTCTCGGCATCGGGCAAGTTTGGAAAACTGCTCTGGGGAGGGCTCAGTTCCCCACATGTGTCTGGCCACCCCACCTGCCCCATCCGGCTCAGCACCCCCCTGAGAACAGTACCACAAAGCCGGCATCGGCCCAGAACTGGGCGATTTTGGGGCTAAGACTGTGCCTCAGCTCCCTGCATCTGCCTACCACCGGATGAGTTTCTGAAGACAACATAACCTGATGTTTTTATCAACTACAAAGTAATGGAGTTATTAAACGCAGTTACAAGGGACATAATTAGCCATGTTTCCAACACCAATAGCAGTGGGAAGTCTGTCCTGAGGAGACCAGCACCTGCAAAGGACACTTGGTCACCACACAGCTGTCCTCACCGCCCTACACCGAGTGGCCGTGGTGACGCAGTCAGCTACCCACAGCTGTCTGCACGGACGCCTGACACTAAATGTAAACGTGCAGTCGCTTGCAGCCTAAAGAGAAAACCCATCTTTTCAGAAGGCACTCACAGACTTCCATCTCCTGCGCCTCGCACTTGGCCGAGCCAACGTCGTTGGAAGCCATGCAGTAGTACTGCCCGGAGTCCTCCTTGCGAACCGCGCTGAACACCTGCTCAGGACATGACAAGGAGATGGGAGGCCTGTCAGGTGAGAAGAGGCTCCGCCTCCCACGGGCAATGTCTGCTCTGCCGCCTGGTCTCCTGCGCTTCCAGGTCCTGTCCAGGTTCTTTCCTGGAACTCCTGACACCCTCGCTTGAGAGCTTCCCAACAGCAGCTTCTCTGGTGTATGGAGACTCCAGCCTGGCAGCATCCAGAGTGTGATGCTAGCGTGACTTTCACTCTGGAAGAGGGATGACGACGCCTGCCCCTGGAGCACCCCAGGCACTGCGTGCTCAGACATCCGCAGGGCTGGTGACCTGCTGGGGTGGCTGTCGCTGGGCACAGCAGACCTGCCTTCACCTCTGCCCCACCCACCCCTTCCCACTAGACATCTTTTATCCATAAATACGAATACGTTTCCTTAGCACAGTGGTCGGCAAACTGCGGCTCACGAGCCACATGCAGCTCTTTGGCCCCTTGAATATGTCTCTTCCACAAAATACCAACTTCTGCCCACGGGCCACGAAGTTTCAATCGCACGGTACGTGTGCGTCCGCATGTGGTATTTTGTGGAAGAGCCACACTCAAGGGGCCAAAGAGCCGCATGTCGCTTGTGAGCCGCAGTTTGCCAACCACTGCCCTAACAGATAGGAATCTTTTATTACCACAATACCATGATCATGCCTGAAACAATAGACAATTTTAACATGGAATACCCAGCCGTAACCAGATTTCTCTGCTTGTCTCATGAGTCTGACAGGTGATTATTCACACCAGCACCCTGTTCCCGGGGTCTGTCAGGGACTTTAGCTCCCTTCTCTCTCCCAATGGCTCCTCTTTCCACAGGTCTCCCTGCCCAGCAGACGTTTCCATCCGCACCTCTCCCAGGTCTTACCAGAGTGCCCGTTTCAGAGTTGATGACAAAAGAGGAATTCTGGAATCTGGGGTTGGCGCGGGAGTCCTTGGGCAGGGGTGCGTCGTTGCGGTACCAGCTGTAATGAGGCCGGGGAAAGCCCTCCTTCTCCTGGCAGTGCAGCGTGGCCATCTTGCCTACGGGCACAGCCTTTGGTACCGTGCACACCGGAGGCACTGGCTTCACTGTAGGAGAAGCACAGGTTGGTATTTAAAATCAGCAACAAGCCCGCCGTAAATCCGCTCCCCAAACAAGAAAGCCAGCCAGGGGATTCTGCACCACCACTGGACCATGGCCACGCCCTTGGCCCCATGACCACACACACCATCCCATGGCCATGCCCGCTGTCCCATGGCCACACCTTCCGCCTCTGGTCTGCCGCCAGAAACCTGCCCCTGTAGCTCACCTCCCCCCCCACCCCCAGTATCATCCCGCAGCATGTTCCCAAGGCCTCCTCCTTCCCAGGGGCCTCCCACAGTCGGGGGAGGGAAGTGGCAGAAGCTTCCACCCAACTCAAGCAGCCCCAGGTCTCTACACCCTCCCTAAAGCGGACGCCTTCAGGGATGGAGCTACGGAAGGAAAGAAAGTACGAGTTGATCTTTCCTTTTCCTACATACAAATTCATGAGGCCTGAAAGGGGAACACGTTGGTTGCACGTGAGTGTCTACCTTGCACAGTCAAGTCAATGACAATCTCGTCCATTTCTTTTTGGTCGTCTTGAGCAACCACCTCACAGCGATAAAGAGCAGAGTCTCTTCTGGTCACGTTCCAGATCTGCAGAGAGGTTTTCCCCAACAGCTCTGCACGCCCTGCCAAGTCCCCTGTAGAAGAGAAGGAAAGGGGCACTAAAGACTCTTTCGAGATCTCTTTGTAACTTGAAGGAGGCAGTTTCTGGGGCCAGCATTGGACGCCTTATGAGAAGACTGGCTTCTATTTCTGTTCCTTTAAAACAGGTGAGCTCTGAGGACACTGGACACCAACACAGTGCCTGGTGTGAGAGGACTCATTATATGCCCCTGTCTTTATATAGATACTAGAGGCCCGATGCACGAAATTCGTGCAAGAGTAGGCCTTCCTTCCCCCGGCTGCTGCACCAGCTTCCCTCTGGCAGCTAGCAGGCACCAGGGACCCGGGCTTCCCTCGCAGCCCTAGCTTCATCCGGAAGGACATTCGGTCTAATTAGCATATTACACTTTTATTATTATAGATATATATTGATTTCAGAGAAGAAGGGAGAGGGAGAGATAGAAACATCAATGATGAGAGAGAGTCATTCATCGGCTGCCTCCTGCACGCCCCACCTGGGGATTGAGCCTGGCATTCACTGCCTCGAGCTGGTCCAGTCCGGCCCTGACACAACTGGTCAGCTTCACCTGGAGTCCCCCGTGCCCCTCCTCCTTCTTTTGTCAGCCCCAGCAATGGGGGAGCCCTTGCAGTGTCTCTAATAAGCCAAGCTGACATTTGCTTCTATATTTTTATACACATCAGTCTTTCTGGCCAACACATTTCTTCACCCCACGCCTCACCATCCTGCCTGGCTGACTAGCCTTCACTTCTCTGTCTAGAGGTCACTTCTGGGTAGCCTTTCAGGCCACCTGTCCTGCCCCCTGTCATTTCGCCTGAGAGCACCCGATGCTTACCTCTGTGCTCACACAGGATCCCACCCGCCAGTGTCTAGCAAATGCTTTCTCAGTGCGGTGTGCTTGCACCAAACACTTGTTGTCTCCTTGCTGTGCCATGTGACCCTCTAACTCACTTAACTTGCATCACTCAGGTCATGGATCGTGATAAAAAGATGGCCTGGGAGCACGGTGATCCAATACTTCAGAAAGCTATTTTGCAGAGAGATTAAAGCCCTAATGAATCGGTATCTGCTGAAGCTGGGTGACAGGGTCAGGGAGGTTCAATATGCTACTCTCATTCCCTTGACATGTTTGACTTTTCTGTAAGTAAAGCAAAACAAAATTTTTAAACTAATCCTGGCTAAGATGCAGAACCAGTGGGAGGAGAGAAAGTCTGGCCTGGAAACAAGGAGGGGACATGGCATCATACCCTGTATTCTGTTGTTAAAAAACACGTATGTGGTCTGAGCATCTTTAATTTTCTTCCATTCGATCCTGGGCTCTCTTGTCTGTGAATCTGTAATGATACAAGACAGCTCCGCACCTAATAAGAGAAAAAGAAAGGAACTCTCAGTGCAAGTGGAACAACTCAGGTTACTTACACCCACGCAGCCCGCGCAAGCCTTCGTGATGTTAGGTCTTTCGTGCAGATTAAAACCCAGCTATCGCCAGGCTCCAGGAGACCTTAAGAAAAAGGTTAATTTTAGCCAGAAAAAGGAGAAGATGATTAGCAGGAACCTTTATTAAATAGAGGAGACATTCCCCTTCATACTCCACGTGTATATAGAAATGTCTTTGTCGTGTAAGCGCAAAGCCAGGACAGGTCAGACTTGAGCCAGTATCAAACCTGCAGCCCCTGTGGCCTGCGGAGGCCGGGCCGCCAACACTTCTGCACACCCGCCAGCACAGCTCTGGCCCCACATGCTTGGCCTGAACTGGCTGCAAGACTCTGGCATGTCCACGAGAGGGTGCCCATTCTCCCAATGCATAGTCTCTAGTACTTACTTTCAAATTCCTGTACCACTGGGTATCTGTTGCTGGATTTGAGATTGACGGCCCCTATCAAGCAGCCTGAAGGGAAGACAAAAAAAAAAAGGGTAAAATCAGAGACAATGTGGCTCTAAAACAGCAGAGCCCTCGGACAGAGGTCAGAGTTCCCTTCTACATGGGCAACAATCACTCACCAGAAAGGATGGGAACAGATTATATCCCACGACAGAGACACACACACACAGCAAGTTGACTGCTTTCTCTCTCAGTCTGACTTCACTGGAAAAAGCCAAGAGAAAGAGAAGAGCTCGGAGAATTCACTTTTCTTCTTAGTTCCAGAATGAAGCCCCCAAGAGCTTTAAAGACCTTTCCTCTATGAGTTTCCTCCTTGCTTAGAGTCACTGTTAATCCTCTCAACATCTATCATCCAGACCCGAAGGGGCCACCTTGTCACCCCTCCCTTTATGCTACTGATGATACAAACTACATCTTTACACACTGGATGCCTTATCAGTAACATAGATTTATGATTACTTTTATTCTGTAGAAATTAAAAACTGCAGTTATAAACCAAAATTATAATAAGGCTAACTTTTACACTTGCCTCTACTGAAGACTTATATCTTCACAGCTTTGAGTTACTGTCTACTGTTCTCTTATGTCAACCTAAATGAGTCCCTCAGTATCTTTCTATAGAGTTAATTGCCAGATCCAGCACATGTGATGGAACGCTGCTTCTGGTGGTTCAGTTTACTTTCTGCTGAAAAGGAGACAGGAACCCATGAAGGCACTTTTCTCTGAACAGGACTCACCACAGCCTACAGGATGATGCCTGATGCAGAGAAAGAGCAAGGCAGCCACTCACTTCCTCCCACCAACATCCGATCATTAACAAGGAGGAGAAAACTAGAGGGTGAGTACACAGTGACGCTGAGGACTTAAAGAACTACACGTTCTCCTGAACCCCGTTTGGGCTATCTCACAGCACTCCACCCGGGCAGCAGGAGTGACTCCACGCACGTCCCAGCCAGGGGACCGGGTCCTGGACAGGTTCACGTCTCTGAGCACAGAGCAAAGCCAAAGCCAGAAGCTCCCGCCCCAGCCCCACTTCCCTGCTCTATTTCATCGTCTTTCTTATGAGGAGAAACATGTCATGAAAATCTATCCAGAACTAAGAGAGGTGTTAAGAGGATCTGGAACTAAAAGGGCAACATGACTCAGAACCTGACGCCTCAGCTTCCACCGCATTGTTCTCCTGAAGCCCTTCCCTAGGAGTTTGCAAGGGAAGTAAGTGCCCTTTAAAAATAACCTCTGGAATGATAACCAGATGGTGGGGCAGCTTCAGCCGGCCATCTCTTCCTTCCAGGGAAGCGGGGGAAACAGCGACGGGTGTGGAGGGAGCAGGCAGAGAGCACGATAAGGCAGGAGAGGAAGCGTGAACCCTCACAATGTCTCACAAGCTCCTCAGACTGTTCTCTGAAGTTCTGTGTCTTTGTCTGCCTCCGCTTGTATGATCTGGAACAGTTTAGCAGCTGTGGACAACAACTGCCGTTTCCTATTCCAGCTGGGAGAGACCTTTCAGGAATTCTGCCAGTGTCTGGGCTCTGACGCCAGACAAGCCCTGTAAAATGCCATTTCCTAACCCACCTCCTCAGCCCCTGGAGCTCACATACCCCAAGCTCCGACTCAGCGGGTTGGAAAAGGCCCAGATCTCCGCTGTGTCCCCACTGCCCCTGGTTTTCACGTGCAGCCCCCTCTGGGAAGCCGGCTAAGTCACCCCGTCAGGGCCCAACCTACACTCCGGCTATGTCCACAGCACAGCCCTCCTGGGGGCACAAGGGCGCTCTCTATTTCCCTTCCCTCTTCTGAAGAACAAGAACCCGAGAACATAAAATGTCACAATACAAACACATGGAAGCCTAACAGATGATCAAGTCCGTCTCGGCCCCTGTTCTTCCAAGAGCCTCGGTCTAACTCTGTTGAAGTGTCTGAAGCTGGCGAGTCCATGAACAGCGCAATTCCAAAGCTGACCACTCAGCCACGTCCACACAGATCGAGGCCTCAACAGGCAAAGTACCTGTCTTTCCCCCTTGTGAACCCCAAAACCAATCCGAACAGCAACACGGGCTGCTGGCTGCTGAAGGGATCCTGGGAGATAAAGGGACCTCTTTCTGCCGTTCACAATGGCTGTTAGTTCACTGCAGAGAGAGCGGAGAGAAGAGGCAATGGCTGTCTCACTCTCCGTGAAAAATGGAATTTATTTGGACTTATATGCATTGCTGTAAACCAAGAGGGAAAAGACACTTGTTTAGAAAATGTTTCACTTTCGGTCAGATGTGCTGCTAAGAAATAGCTTGTGCATGTCTGGCGCTGTAAAGAGTTATCTCGGCCTCTGGCGTTCTGTCCAGTTGGTCGTCTGCTCAAAAGAAACTTTTCCTGACCAGGGCAGACCGGCGTGGCTGCACGTTAGTGTGAGTCACTGTGGGACCTCACTGCCTACTGGGGCCCAAGGCTAAATATAAAGTGGTATGCAGGCTTTCCAGTGGAGAATATTTACATTTTTATTCTGTGTGCATGCCTGGCATAATCCATCTTGGAGAAGAAAATATCCCCAAAGACAGCATCGTTTCAACAATGTCTCAGTTCTGTAACCAATTTTGTAAGGAATTTAACAGCCAGGGGAGAGAGTGCCCGTCAATAATATTTTCCAGACCCACTTACCCAGACACACAGCAAAGGATACACAGGAAATCAACTAACTGTAAGTTCTGACAAGAACAGGACCAGCTGGAGCCCTGGGTAAAGACTGCCCATTGTTACTCTGGCTAAACTAAATGGTTATACGAAGAGACCCTTAAAAATAAAGTATAAAAAGACCCAACCAAATATCATGGACTTCCAAGTAAATTGGGCTGTGATGGTTCATTTTATGTGTCAACTTAGAAGGTGTTTTTGGACGAGATTAACATTTAAATTGGTGAACTTCTGAGTAAGCACATTGCCCTCCCTATGTGGACGGGCCTTACCCAAACAGTAGAAAGGCATGAATAAATAAGAAAGACCAGCCTCCTGCCTGGCCAGTGTGGCTCAGCTGGTTAAGTGGTTAAGTGTTGTCCCGTGCCCCGGAAGGCCGTGGGTTCGATTCCTGGTCAGGGCACATCCCCAGGTTGCGAGTTCAATCTCTGACTGGGGTGTGTATAGGAGACCGAGGGCATGATATTGATGTCTCTCTCTGACATCAATGTTTCTCTCTCTCTCTCCCCTCCTTCCTCCCTCTTTAAAATAAAAATGAACACCTAAAAATAAAAAATAAAAACAGCCTCCCTGGGCAGAGGAAATTTCTCCAACAGACTGAGGCCAGACCTCCTCTGTTCCTTCAGCGATCCAGGGTCTCAGCCCGAGGCCCACCCTGCAGACTAAACTCGCCAGCCTCCATAACCACAGGAACCAGCTCTTTATCACAAATCTTTTTATACACAGTAACCATCTGTACCTAAAATAAATGAATGCTATTCTACCTTACTCATCCTATTGGTTGTTTCTCTGGAGAACCCTAACACGACGACTATGGCACTTCTTGTGTTGACTCTCAAATCTAGAAGAAAAGCATGTCATTTCACTGCACATATGCTCACTCCACGAAGAACTTCCAGGGGCACCCCTAAACTCAGAGGTAGCGCAATCTCATGTCGCATGCCAATGGTAAGCCAGCAGGAGACATCAGATGAGATGCTACTGATTTGAAACGATCTTGTTTCTATTTAATTCTATCTCCAAACCAAAGCCATCAAGGATTTCGGGACCAGGCGCCTGACTAACCAAGTCCGATAACATCAGAGTAGAATTCCATCCACGAGCCACCCTCGCTGGAAATGTGTGAAGAAGTGACTGCCCTGAGGACTGCCCAGCCCCTTGCGTCTCTAACAGAGAGGTTTTTACAGCTTCCGGGGCAAGTCCAGGAGTGTCACGGGGAAGAAGTCACTGTCGCCGTAACGGAAGCCACGGCAAAATGCCAAAAGGAGAAAAGAAGGACCAGGTCTCATGCCCTTTCAGCATCAAATCACCAGGTGAAACATGAATCAACTGTCCTAAACTAGAGGCGGGGAAAGGAAGAGGGAGAAAGAAGGGAAAGTAAAGGTGGGGGAAGAGAGCAGAGGAGTGAGGCAGGGGGGAGTAAAGAAAGGGAAGGCAGCCCTGACCGGTTTGGCTCAGTGGATGGAGCGTCGGCCTGCGGACTCAAGGGTCCTGGGTTCGATTCCGGCCAAGGGCATGTACCTTGGTTGCGGGCACATCCCCAGCAGGGGGTGGGTACAGGGGGCAGCTGATCGATGTTTCTCTCTCATCGATGTTTCTAACTCTCTATCCCTCTCCCTTCCTCTCTGTAAAAAAAATCAATAAAATATATTTAAAAAAAGAAAGGGAAGGCAGAGGGAGAGAAGGAAAGGGAAAGAAACACCCAGAATAATGGGGAAAGAATCACCCAGAATAATGGCTCCACTTCTGCTGTAATAGTGCAGTGATTCCTCCATTTTTTTCAATGGTTCAGAAAGAGTCTATGAAGTAACTAACTAGACTGAGATAAAGGCCCGGTGGAGAGGTGGTCACCATCTTCACAGGAGCCTGTACTATCACTTCTTCTAATCGCAGACCAATTAGACCCGCTGCACAGCACTCCTGGCCCTAGAGCGCAGACGAACACATAAAATTCTCCGTCTGTGGCCACGAGACCCATCTCCGAGGCGCTGAGGCATGACAAATAGGTCTGACTAAACAGAGAACATGTGTCAAGGCATTTTCTTATTCTGCAAAATACCTCATCTGGAAATAAATTACCCCTAACAATTGCCCTGAGAATAAGACCCTGGCATAAAACTGTTCTCTGAGCCCAGTCCTGCAGCCCACTTTCCCGTGTGATCACAGATTCTGGTATCAGAACATCCGGAGAGGAAGTGTGCTCTCAGCCGCTATAGAGAAACAGTTCGACATCACACCCGCATCAACTGCAGGCACCGCAGCAACCCCCCCAGCCGGTCCTGGAGCCCCTCTGGCTTGGGATCCCGCAGAGCCGCATGCAAACGGCC